AACATATCCAAAATTGAGCTCATATTCCACCCTGAACCCATTCTTCCTCCAAACTTCCTGTCCATCCTTAGACTAGATTAGATCATCCTATGGAGAATCAGTCACAGCTGCAGTAAGCCCTGGGAAGTGCCATGAACAAAACCAGCCTTTTCCCTTGCCTACAGTTAAACCCACGCTGCCAAATAACTCTGGGAAGGAGAAAACTGATGACCAAAGCAAACTGGTAATGCCTGAGAACCAGAGTGGCTAAAGGAATTTAGCTCCCACTCAGGCAGGCCAGGAATTATGTATATCCTGCTCCCTAAGGTAAAAGAGCACCTCTAGTTCTCCAGTCTCTTAACTAGCAGAACCATAGCAATCTGGGACCTGCTAGCAGAGTTATAGACAACCATGTTCCTGATGAGGGCAAACATGAATTTTGCTTGCTTTCTGGGAGATGTGAGGTAAGGTAGAAGTTCATAGAATGGAGGAGTGGAGCGAAGGGAAGAGGGAATTGAAGGAAAGGTGGTCACCAAGTAGAGGAAGCCCCTATCTGATTGCTTCATATTTTAATGATTTTTTTTTTCTGGCTAGGTGCTCAGCTCAGTTGTTTACATGCTGATAAATGACTGGAAGTATTGCAAATGTCCCTCTAAACTTTAGTTCCCTATCACAAAGAGCCTATTTCTTTGCCTTAGTTTCAACTCTGCCCACCCAAAGGATGTTAAGGTATTACCCAAAACCAAAAGATTTTCCATCAGACCTTCTGGCTCTCACTCTAGTTTCTTTCCATTCAAAAAATCAAAAGGCATCACCATCATAAGTTCTGTCTTTACTAAAGAATAATGATGATGCTGTAGTTGCTACTGATGATGATGACTGGTCATAATGAAAAAATAACACATTTTATAAAAGTTTATGATTCATGTACCATTTTATAAATATCTGTCTTCATTCTCATAATATTGCTTACGAAGTAGTCCGGGTATTACTCCCATTTTTCAAATGAGGAAACCAATATTTAGAGGGTCAAAGTGACTTGTCCAAGGTCACATAGCTTAGAAAGGATTGATCTTAGACTCAAAACTATGACCTTTGACTCCAAATAAAGTTATCTCTCCTCCATATAGTGCTACCATTCTCATTTCATAGAATCCATATTAAAATCCTAAGTGATCCAGATTCTTGTTGGATTTTCTTGTGGTTTAAAGGAACAATATGACAAAATTCCTTACATGTGTGCTCGTGCATGCACACACACACACACACACACACACACTCCAGATGGTTGACAAACCCTAAATGGTGCTATTGTGCCAAATATTACAATTTGTTCATAAGAGACCTTTTTTTTTTGCTTTAGATCCAGAGGATGTACATGTCTTAATAAGAGTATTCTTCTACTTTCTTTTAAAATGAATGCCCTTTGGGGCAGAGCCAAGATGGCAGAGTAAAGCAGTGACTTGCTTGAGCTCTCCCCCAAACCCCTCCAAATACCTATAAAAAATGGTTCTAAACAAATTCTAAAGCAGCAGAACCCACAAAAAGACAGAGTGAAACAAATTTCCAGCCCAAGACAGCCTGGATGGTTGATTGGAAAGGTATATTGCACCGGGAGATAAGAAGAGCGCAGCTCCATGTGGGCGCACAAGCCACAGCAAACCTAGAGCAGGCCTCAGAGGACTGCATCATGGCCAGCTGTGGTGGTTTCCAGACTTCTCAACCCACAAACGCCAAACACAACTTAGAAGGTCAGTGGGAAAAGTCTGTGTCTGTGGCGAAGCAAGGTGGTCTCAGTTCCAGTTCCAGAGCTTGGCCCCAGGGCGCCAGCTGCCTCCTGAGCTTCTGGCCCACAGACTGAGGGGGAATCCAGTGGCTGATCAGAGGGGGATTGCAGGGATCTCTCTGCTGGTGCAGGATTCTCTTGCTCTGCCCATGCTTGGATCTGGGTCACACTTCTGGGTGGCAGTCCTGGGGCGAAGAGGAGTGCTGGCATGGTGGAACTTGTAGTCACTGTACAGAGAAAATCCTCCTCACAGTTCCAAGACAGAAAAAAGTGCTCGTGGTCACTCACAGACCAGAGCACAGGACAGGAAAGGAGTAAACACCTTGTCCTTGACATAGTACCTTGGAAGAACTGAAAATTTACAGATTCCTAGAAGTATCTCTGAAAACAGCTGCACAAAATCCCTGAAGCTTGGGACAGTACATTCTCCACACTGGAAACAGCCCCCTACCTTAACAAAGAGTTTATAACTCAAATAATTGGCCAGGATCATGAGCAAGCAGCACAAAAAGAGTCAGACCATATTATCTTACTTTGGTGACAAAGAAGATCAAAACATACAACCAAAAGAAGACAATGAAGCCAAAGCTCCTACATCCAAAGCCTCCAAGAAAAATATGAATTGGTCCCAGGCCATGGGAGAGCTCAAAAGTGATTTTGAGAAGCAAGTAAGACAAATAGAGGAAAAACAGAGAGTGATGCTAAAGAAGGACCCAAAAAATACTGAAGAAAATAACACCTTAAAAAATAGCCTAACCCAAATGGCAAAAGAGGTCCAAAAAGCCAATGAGGAGAAGAATGCCCTAAAAAGCAAAACTGGCCAAATGGAAAAGGAAGTCCAAAAGCTTACTGAAGAAAATACTTCCTTAAAAATTAGAATGGAGCAATTGGAAGCTAGTGACTATATGAGAAATCAAGACACTGTAAAACTAACCCAAAAGAATGAAAAAATAGAAACAATGTGAAATATCTCATTGGAAAACAACTGACCTGGAAAATAGATCCAGGAGAGAGAATTTAAAAATTATTGGACTATCTGAAAGCCATGATCAAAAAAAGAGCCTAGACATCATCTTTCAAGAAATTATCAAGGAAAACTGCCCTGATATTTTAGAACCAGAGGGCAAAATAGAAATTGAAAGAATCCACCAATCACCTCCTGAAAGAGATCCCCAAAGGAAAACTCCTAGGAATATTGTAGCCAAATTCCAGAATTCCCAGGTCAAGGAGAAAATATTACAAGCAGCCAGAAAGAAACAATTCAAGTATTGTGGAAACACAATCAGGATAACACAAGATTTAGCAGCTTCTACATTAAGGACCAGGGCATGGAATATAATATTCTGGAGGGCAAAGGAGATAGGATTACAACCAAGAATCACCTACCCAGCAAAACTGAGTATAATCCTTCAGGGAAAAAATGGTCATTATGAAATAGGGGACTTTCAAGCATTCTGATGAAAAGACCAGAGCTGAATAGAAAATTTGACTTTCAAATACAAGACTCAAGTGAAACATGGAAGAGGTAAACAGGAAAGAGAAATCATAAGAGTCTCATTAAGGTTGAACTGTTTACATTCCTTCATGGAAAGACGATATTTGTAACTCATGAGCCCTTTAGCAGTATTAGGGTAGTGGGAAGGGAAAAATTATATATATGTATATATAGATAGACAGATAGATAGAGGGCACAGAGTGAGTTGAAGATGAAGGGGTCATATCTGGAAAATAAAATTAAGGGTGAGAGAGGATTATACTGGGAGAAGGAAAAGGAGTAGAATGGGGTAAATTATCTCACATGAAACAGACAAGAAAAGGCTTTTACAGTGGAGGGGAAATGGGGGAAGGTGAGAGGGAATGAGTGAATCTTATTCTCATAGGATTTGGCTTAAGGAGGAATAACATACACAATCGGGTATGGAAATCTATCTTACCCTGCAGGAAAATAAGGGGGAAGGGGACAAGAGAGCAGGGGTTGATAGAGGGGAGGGCAGATTGGGGAGGGGATAATCAGAAGCAAACACTTCTGAGGAGGGGCAGGGTCAAAAGAGAGAATAGAATAAATAGGGGGTAGGATAGGATGAAGGGAAATATACTTCGTTTTTCACAACATGACTACTATGAAAGTGTTTTGCATGACTACACATCTATAACCTGTATCAAGATGCTTGCCTTTTCAATGAGGGTGGGTGGGGAGGGAGGAAGGGAGAAAATTTGTAACCCAAAGTTTTAAAAACACTTGTTAAAAATTGAAATAAAATAAAATGAATGCCTTCATTGCTTCCTCCAAAAATGTGATAAGTGCTATATACAACATTTTTTGTACAATTAAAAAAAAACTGTTAAAGGCCAATGTTCTCCTTACCTTTTTTTGGTTGTTTTTATTTTTGTCAGTGTAAAAGAGGTTACTTGGTAGACTGAATTCCACTGAATAAACAGGTGTTTTTGCTTGAGGGACGCATTTAGTGGAGACTAACAATCAATCACATTAACTTTCAGGGAAATTTCCAGCTTAATAACAAACATACAAATCCATGAAAATGAATTCTAGAAAATGAAAATATAAATACTAATCCCAAAGATATCAGACACACAAGTATTGCTATAAATAGAATGGAATTACATTTCCTCTCTCATGAGGTCACTTCCCAATCTCAATGTTCCAACTCAAGAGATATATAGTAGATTGGTTGTTATCCTTCATTCTTAAAGAGGACCAAAATGACATCACTATGTTGGAGTCAAGGTACAGTGTGTCCAACTATGGCTGATCAGACCTATAGGAGCTCGGAAGACTCTACCACAGGTCAGGCACGAATAATCCACATGAACATTTGGAGTGGAAATGTCTTAAAATCTGTCTCCCATTTCTTTTTGAGCTACTGCAGTTCTGCTTTGCTCATAGAGCACATCTTCTTTGATGTGGGTGTGCCATGCTGGGCAGTCCTTGCTAGCATCTCCCATGTCATGCAATCAATTCCAGAGCTCTTCAGAGAGACCTTGAGAGAGTTCTTGTTCTTACTTCCATGTGAGCACTTACTTTTTGTGAGTTCTCCATAAAATAGTCTTTCAGGTCAACATTGGAACAATGTGGCCAACCCATCTAAGTTGCACTCTCTGCAGTAGAGTTTGAATGCTTTGCAGTTTAGCTTGAGAAAGTACCTCAAGTGCCCAGTATCTTATCTTGCCAGGTGATCTTTAGAATCTTCCTACAACAATTCAAATGGAAGCAATTCAATTTCCTGGCATATCACTGGGAGGCTGTCCAGGTTTCACAGGCATACAACAATGAAATCAGCACAGTAGCTCTGTGGACCTTCTCTCCCATACTTTCTTTCAGAGCCTCCCAAACACTAAAATAACTCTGGCAAGGTGTGCATCAACCTCATCATCTATGTGTACATCTCTGGAAAGGTACTGCCAAGGTCAGTGAGCTTATCCACAGCATTCAATATTTTTCCATTTGCTATGACCAATGGTTCCATATAGGGATGGTGTGGTGCTGGCTGGTGAAGAACCTGTGTTTTTTTCTTCTGAATTGTTAGGCCAAAAGTAGCATGAGCAGCAGAGAAATGATCCATACTTTGTTGCATCTCAGCTTCAGAGGCTGCATTGAATGCACAATCAGGTAGGTGGGTAGGTAGATAGATAGATAGACAGATAGATAGATAGATAGATAGATAGATAGATAGATAGATAGATAGATAGAAAGATAGATAGATAGATATGTGTGTTTCTATGTATGTGCATAAGAGAGAGAAAGAGAGGAGGGAGAAAGAAAGAAAGAAAGAAAGAAAGAAAGAAAGAAAAGAAAGAAAGAAAGAACGAAAGAAAAATGAAAATAGCTAATTCTCAAAGAGAGGGAAGGGAATAAACATTTATATAGTGCTCCATTGTAGATGCTTCAAAAATGCTTGCTAACCAACAAACAGCTAGGGGAACTGGGAAAGACTTCTTCCAGAAAATTGCATTTGAGCTGAGATTTGAAGGAAGTCATAGAGCCTAAGAGGTGGAGGTGAGGAGAAAAAAAACACTCTTGTCATGGCAGACAGTCAATGCAAAGGTGCAGAGATGGGAAATGGAGTGCTGTGTGTGAGAAACAGCAAGGAGACCAGTATGACTAAACTATAGAGTATACAGGCATACCTTGGAGATGTTGCAGGCTTGATTCCAGACCACTGCAATAAAGCGAATAATGCAATAAAGTGAGCCACACCAATTTTTTGGTTTCCCAGTGCACATAAAAGTTATGTTTACACTATTCTATACTCTATTAAGTGTGAAATAGTATTATGTAAAAAAAAGTAGATACCTTAATTAAAACTACTTTATTGCTAAAAAATGCTAACCATCACCAGAGCCTTCCAAGAGTTGTAATCATTTTGCTGGTGGAGGGTTTTGCCCCAGTGTTGATGGCTGCTGACTTATCTGGGTGGTGACTGCTGGAAGGTTAGGGTGGCAACTTCTTAAAACAAGAAAACAATGAAGTATGCTTCATCAATTGACTCTTCCTTTCACTTGAACATTTAGCAGCCATTGTAGGGCTACTAACTGGCCTAATTTCATTATTGTTGTGTCTCAGGGAATAGGAAGACGTGAGGAGAGGCAGAGAGACAGGGAACTGCTGGTTGATGGAGCAGAGTACACATAATTAAGTTCATTCTTTCACCAAAATGTGACACACACGCAAGGTAAGCACATGATGTTGGAAAAATGGTGTCAATAGACTTGTTTAATTCAAGGTTGCTTCAAGCCTTCAATTTGTAAAAAATGCAATATCTGCAAAGTGCAATAAATGAAGAAGGATAAATAAAGTAAGAAGACTGCAAAGATAGGAAGAGGGTAGGTTGTGAGAAGTATATAAGGACTGGAAACAATATTTGACCTTCTGAATTCCAAGAACAATGCTAGATCTGAAGCCTAATGTTGATGCATTATCCCTTCCAGCTCTATAATTTTGATTTGATGATGGTTTAACCAAATTTTAGCACTAAGTGTAAAGTACACAAATCTTTCCTAGCTTGGGGAAATCCTAAAACTCACCTACCAATCTATAGTTATTTACTTATCAGTTAACTTTAAAATCCCTCTCACACTGGTACTTTTCCCAAGCCAAAGCTATTCACCGGTAGACACAGAGAATACAACCTTAGTAAAAGAGGTTCTTTTATATTTGGCAATTAAAATTAAGGGCAACAAAACCTAAAAATCTTCAAAGACACTGATAAGCAAAAGGGCCCTCATTCAATTGGACAGATAGATGGCTACTTCTGAATTTAACCTAACCAGCAAAAGGATTCATTTGTTCCTTCCAAACTCTTTTATTAGTGTCCATGATGTACATATTGACACTGGGGAACATGCAGAAGTTCCTGGCTCAGAGAAGCACAATTAGCAAGAACAGATAAGCATAGTTACAGAACCACATGAGCAGTCCCTAAATGAGTAGACAATAAATGACATCTCCAAGAAATAGGAGATATTTATCTATCTTTTCATCTATGGAGTATCTACAAGACACCTTTTTCTCTTCTAAGAGGTACTATGATAAAAAAAAAAAAGATCATCCAGGACACATTGGGTTTCTCTAAGCCTCAAGTTTATCAATCAATCAACCAATAAACATTTTAAAGCACCTACTACGTGCAAGGCACTGTGCTAAAAAATAGAAGCAAAAGACAGTCCTTATCCTCAAGGGGCTCATAATATAATGAGAGAGACAACAAACAAATATATACAAAACAAGCTATATACAGCATAAATAGGAAATAATTAACAGAGGGAAGGCACTAGAAGTAAGAGACGTTCGGAAAGTCTTCCTGTAGAATGTGGGATTTTAGTTGGAATTTAAATGTAGACAGGGAAGTCAGTACGCAGAGATGAGGAGGGAGTATTTCAGTTATGGGGGACAGCCAGAGAAAATATCTGGGACCAAGAGATCGAGTGTCTTGTTTGTGGAACAGCCAAGACGCCAGTGTCACTGAATTGAAGAATACATGGAAGACATTAAGATGTAAGAAGACTAGAAAAGTAATAGGTGACTAGGTTGTGAAGGGCTTTGAATGCCAAGCAAAGCATTTTGTATTTGATCCTAGAGGTGGTAGGGAGTGAATTGAATTTATTGAGTAAGGGGGATGACGTGGTCACACCTGTATTTTAGGAAAATTTGTAGGAAATTATATATTTATAGGGAATTTAGAGGGAATTGTCTTTGCCATCTTTTGCATCTAGGAATCAACCCACAACTTCTTACCCAAATCAAGAGCTGTAATATTCACTAAATCTTCAGAATCCTGACATCTATTTGTTAAGATTGTAGGGAAGACAACACCCTCATCCCTGGTCAAATTTCAAAGGTCCTCCTTGTTGATCACCTATGAACCATAATAAAAAGTATTGGTCAAAGTAGAAGAAAAATGCAGTTGGGCACCGATTTCTTTTGACCATCTGACCTCAAATCCCAATTGAGATAAAAATGACCAAAGTGCACTTCATTTCTGCTTCAACCTTCCATTTCTTTTAGGTCAAATCAAGTCACCAAACAATTATTAATTCTTACTGTGTGCCAGGCACTAAGTAAAAAGAAAGACAGTCCTTTTTCTCACGGAACTTATATTCTAATGAGGCAAGACAACATATAAAGGGGAACTGAATAGCAGGTGGGGAGTGAGTGAAGGTACTCATACATGGTGGCATTGTGGATATCCCCAAATAGTCAGGAATAAGACCCAAAGAACGAAGAAATGTATATGGCTGGCCTTGATACCTTCCTTAAAATGGAGATTCCAGGAGGAAATGATTGGTCAGAGGAAGGGGCTAGAGGGGCAGGGTGGTTGGGAAAACTGTCAGCTACCCTCAACCAAATTTGCCCTCCTTGAAGGGGATACTCAAATAAAAACACTCCATTAGATGGCAGAGTTAGAAGAGGCTACTTGCGCAGGAATTTTTCTCTACAATATTCCCATACCATGATCACTCAGGCTCCACTTGAAGAACTCCATTTATGCAGAATCCATATGAGGCAGCCCATTCTACTTTGGGATACCTTTAATTGTCAGGGATTATATCTTCGCATCAAGTTGGATTTTATCCTTACATCAAGTCAGGTTCCATTTTTCTACAATTTCCAGTCCAATACAACAAGCATTTATTATGTATTGAATGTGGACCATATACTGTGCTAAAGGTTAGGCTACATAGGGGCAGCTAGGTGGCACAGTGGATAGAGCACCGGCCCTGAAGTGAGGAGGACCTGAGTTCAAATGTGACCTCAGACACATAACACCTACTAGCTGTGTGACCCTGGGCAAGTCACTTAACCCCATTGCCCAGCTAAAAAAAGAAAAAAAAAGGTTAGGTTACATAGAAAAATAAGGAGTGTCCATCCTATATTCTGAAAACAGCTATCATATTTTCCTGAGTCTTCTCTTCTCTGAATTAAATATTCCTAGGCCTTCAACTGATTCTCATATATCATTGTCTCCAGTATTCTCCCTATTCTGTTCACTCTTGATAATGAGTGATCAACCACCATTGGTCATTGTTCTCCTAAATCCCTTCATAAAAAGCAAAATTTGGTACCTGCTCCTCACTAGAATCTGAAGGACAAAACTACTGTTAGATTTCTTCTTAACTTCATCAACTCTCATTCAACCAAGAACATTCCTAGTGGGAAGATCTCACTTTATATTCTAGTGAGTGTAATGATAATGTTAACAGTAACAACAACAGTTTAAAGTTTCCAAAGAACTTTACATTATTTTCTCATGTGGTCCTCACAATGTCTCTAAGAGGAACATGCTATTTTCTCCCCTTTTTACAAATGAGAAAACTGAGGCTTATAGAGATTAAGTGACTTACCCATGGCCACACAGTCAGTGTCAGAGACATGATTTGAATTCAGGTCTTCATTACTCCAAGTCCAGTGCTCCATCCATTGTGCCACCTAGCTCCCTATCATCACCATCATCATCATCATCATCATCATCATCATCATCATCATCATCACCACCACCACCATCAAAATATATACACCAAGGAAACAGGTTCTTCAGAACCCTTCTATTTGGGTTTTACACAAACTTATTTATCTCATGTTATAAGGGGCTTGACTTTATTCTGCTCTTCTTCTGAAAATTAGTGGAATTCTTAGTTGGGGGCAGGGTAACCATAGATAGGGCTTCTAGAGGGAACCTGCCTTGTCCTTCCTACATAAAACACTATTGCTTTGATCTCTTTTCCTACTGAAAATTTCACTGTCCATATCCAGCTGCACAAGCAACCAATCTTTCCATCTTTCAAGAAACTTTCAAGAAATACAGCCAATGAGCTAGATTTTCTGGAGAGATTTTTCCTGGCCATTGTTTCAGGTATCTTCCCTCCTCTCTATGTCTTAGAGTCTTGGCAATTGGCAAGTTCTATAGCTCTGTGCCTGGAAAGACCTTTAATATTTAGAAATGTAAGAGGCTATAAACAATACCTCCATGGTATAACTCATTTCTGTACATCAGCTATGGGGTGGGATTGCAGTCAACCCCAGAAGCAATGGAGCTAATGATATATCAAGCAGCCCCCAGGATTTTTCTCCTTGTTGAAGAAAATGATTCCGACTCTTCTCCCTTGATATACAAACATTTATATATAACTAAGACTTACTGGGGAGTGATTACAAAGTAGGGTTATGTACCAATAGAATGATTAAGCTTGTATAGGTCTTGGTGTACATGGGGCTTTGTGGCTGATTCTCATTCTATTTGTAAGTGCGTGCTTTCCTCTAAATCAGAATACTGAATAGGACAAATGAGGTAGCTCTAATTATCTTTGTTTACAGGAGACTGAAGATCTCTAATAGGAGCCCTGCTGACCTGTGTCTATCCATGGGTGGCAGGAGGTATACAGAAGGCCAGTTGGAATCACGCAGGTTACCAGGGGTTTCTGCCTTCAATATGAGTTTTCCCAAAATACCTCTGGCTAGACTTGTTTGTGTGTGAATATAGTTTTGCAACCCCATCTCTCCATCAGTAAATAGATACTGGGGGAGAAGTAATAGAACCTAATGCCTCTTCTCCACCAGAAAGAATTAGGCTAGATCCTCCACCCACTCAATCAACCACTTACCCAAGCATCTTGCATCTCTGTATGGTTTGTGGGCACTATAAGAGCTAGAAAATTATAATTTGAAGGGATGGTAGGATCTAGTGAAGGTTTCTTAAGGAGAGGGAAACCTTGGGCATATCTGAAGACAGTAGAGAAGGAATTGGAGATAGAGATGGAAGATTTGAATTGGCAATCTTTTGGAGTTGAGAGAGGATGGATCAAGGGCAAATGTCAAAGGGTTGACAAGATGGTGACAAGATGACAAGATGGTGAAAACAGCCTCAATTTTCTCATTAAATTCAGAGGTGAGTTCCTCAGATGGAAAAGTGGTAAATGGGGATATGTGAAAAGGGTGAGGGGAAAAGAGAAGATTTGGAACAGTTTTTTGGAGCATGAGATAGGGAACCAATTAGGGAGGAATAAAAGGTTTGCCTTGCAACAGTGAGGGGAAAATTGAAGTTGGATAACATGGATTTTTAGTGTACCCAATCAGCATATTTTTGTGACTTCTTCCAGCTCTGCTCAGCACCATCTGAGTGGGGTTGGAGGACACAGATAGTGGACGTAATCCAGAACTGAAGTCTGGCAAAACAATCCAAATGCAAGGCAACTGGGGGAGAGGAAAGGATTAAGAAAGCATTAGTAACAATGGTGATAAGAAAAGGTCTCACTCATAGAAAAGACGTTTGAGTTGAAATGTGAAGGAAAGTAGGGTTTCTAAGAGGTGAATGTGAGCAAGGAGTACATTCTAGGCATGGGAGATAGCTAGTGAAAGCACAGAAATGATGATAGATGGAATGTCATGTGTTAGGAACAGCAAGAAGTCCAATTTGGCTGGACTGTAGAGTATGTGAAAGACATTAGTGTTTAATAAGATTGAACTGGATAACATATAAAGTGCTTTGCAATCTTAAGGCTCTTTATTGATGCTATCTATTATCCTAATATTATTATTACTAAATACTCTCAGCCAGGGTTTGATTCATGCTCCTTTGTCTCCCTAGGAGGGTTCTACTCGTGGACCTTATGCCTTAATTACCTGCAAGTGTCAGTTCTATTACTCTGTTCCCCATGGTTGAACATCTGACAAGAAGTGGTTTGAATTTAGGAAATAAATAACTATGAAGACTCTTGAATAAAGAAGTGACAAGATCATATCTGTACAAAAGGGAGATTATTCTGGTAGTTGTATAAAGAGTGGAGTATAGGGAGAGAGAAGCAGGAGGAAAGATCCTTTAGGAAGCTATTGCAGTAGGCTAGGAAGGTGATAATGAGGATTTGTATTAGATTGCCAATGGGAAAAAATTGGAGGGGATGAGGATGAATGATTTTGCAGAGTCAACACCAAACTCAATTAATAGGACTGAACAGCAGGGGGAATGGTGATTCATCCACACTTTTTTCAAAGCACTGCTAAGGTACAAAGACTTCTCTATCCTAGCCTCAGACACAGAAAGATTGGGGTGGGAGGGATATAGGTTTAACATTTTAATGATCTCAGCATACTTTGCAATGTGAAAGATAAAGTCTATTCTGCGGCATGGAGATCCTAAAAGCTAACAATGCTGCTACTTCTGAAAGAAAAGAAAATCTGTCTCTCAGAGTCAGAAGGCTATGATTTATATGTATCTTGTACTGCTGTTTATTATATCATATTTTATTATGCTTCTAATGTTTATTAGATTAGAGGAAGAGGATTTTGCCTGCACTGGAATTTTTGACTTTTTCTGAGCAGAGGGTATTGCCAAGTAGCATGAGAGGACAGAGGAAGGAGAGTCAAGAATACAGGCAAAGCCTGAGATTTTTGGATCATATGTAGTAGTTTTGTTGTCATTGGGTTTGTGCAAGGATTTCAGGGTGAGTCCACTGGACAGCAGCCATGTCTGGCCTGGTCTTCGGTGCACCTCCTTGCATATTTTTTTTATTCAGTTTACTGTCTTTCAGGCTCATGAGACTTTAAACCTATAAATTAACTGAACTGGTTTCAGCCAAACCATTAAGCTGTTTAGTCATCAGTTGATTAGTTAGATAGACATTTTCCTTACTAGATGTTTCCCTGAGTTCTGGGTCTTCACAGTCAGACAATAAAACTCTCCTAGGCTGCTGTCCATTGTCATATGCTATTTGACGATTTCCTTGTGTGTAATCAGGACTGATTTCGGACATACTCAGTTTTTATGAGGTGAGCAGCTAAACTCATGATTCCCATACATTTATTTCAAAATAGGCAATATGTACTGGCAGATTCCAAGGTGCTGAAAGGAGTAGGTAGGGTTCCTGAAATGCTAATGTGAAATACTTTTAAAAGAAATCATCAGGAATTTTATATTGCAAGAAGAGGTAAAACTCTCTGCCTCCTGACTTGGGCTTGCTTTTCAGCTGTGAGACCCCCCCCCCAACCCGAGTTATTAAAAGAGCCAGTTTCTTTGCTCTTTTATCCATGATTTGTGGAAGTTGACAGCTTGGGTGTTAAGGCAATTTGAGCTTCAGCCAAGCACTCTGATTTGTTGCCTGGGTAGATTTACTCTGTCTTGATTTCCTTGATAAATTCTGTGCAAAACTCAATACCAGCTGGCTTGACATCTTTATTAACATGAAAAGGTCCCATGGGTTTGGGTGCAAAAGAAACCTGATTCAAGGGTAAACAAGAAAGATGATGTATATTAGTGTACCAAAAGAAGAATAGGGATTTTATATATTTCTTTTAAAAAGTTATTATTGGTCTAGTACCTTTTGGGAACAAATGAATCAATCAGTCAATCAGTGAGCATTTATTGAACACCAACTATGCGCCTGGCATGATACTGTGTGGATTTAGGAAGGATTTGTGATTCAGTCAGCACTTGGAACTCTTTCCATTGAGCAGATTGCAACCTATCTATAATTTAATTGGTCATCGATTTAGAGCTAGAAGGGAACTTAGAGGCCATCTAATTCATTACCTTCATTTGACAGATCAGGAAACTGAGGCCTAGAGAGGTTAAATGACTTGCCTTAAAGTAATATGAGGATTTATTGGCAGAGCTGGGATATGAGCCAAATTTTCAGACTCCATATTCAGCACTCCTTCCGCCATGCCACACTGCTTCTAAATCACAAGTTAAGTGACCTCCCTAGTTAGTGTCAGAGACAGGACGTGAACCTGTCTACCTCTTTTTCCTGCACCAATCTAGCACTTTATGGAAGGCAACATGGAACAGCACAAAGACTGGTGCCTTTGGAGTCAGAAGGCCTGAGGTAAGGACAGACTGGATATAGATTCAGTTCCATAAGGAAATTAGAAAAGAAATCACTCCTACCTTCACAAATGAGTTCTGGATACCAGAGCAAGGCTTCATCATCCCATCAAAGATATTCCTAAGGAGTGTAGGTAATTCTCTACTCCCCTTGGCTCAACTATGCTACCCCTGAAAGGTTATCATGATAATAAGTTAGTCAGCCATCCTTCAGTGGGTTTTAGAAAGGAATATTTAAGGCTTCCCTTCTAATCTTGATTGATCTCAGCATTCCCCTCCAATCTTTTCCCATTGGCAATCTAATACAAACCCTCATTATCACCTTCCTAGCCTACTGCAATAGCTTCCTAAAGGATCTTCCTTCCTACTTTTCTCTCCCTATAGTCCACTCTTTATACATCTACCAGAATAATCTCCCTTTTGTACAGATCTGATCTTGTCATTTCTTTATTCAAGAGTCTTCATAGTTACTTATTTCCTAAATTCAAACCACTTTTTGTCAGATGCTCAACCATGGGGAACAGGGTATTAGAGCTGACACTTGCAGAAAATTAAGGCGTAAAGTACAAGAGTAGAGACCTCCTAGGAGGACAAAGGAGCATGAGTCAATTTAATTACAGTAAGAACGGTTGGTATGTGACACACTTTCCCACAAGCACATACAGAGTCCAGGGGAAAGTGGGCTGCACCTTAGAAAGTCCATAGAACAAAAGGGGTAATTCATAGTTGCTGGCTGCTGGAAGTCTTCCCATTTGTGAAATGGTGAAGTTCCCTTTAAGCATGGTGTAATTTCTTTTCTAGGTTCTTTTTGGAATTGAACCTATATTCAGTCTGTCCCATTGCAGACCCTTTTATCAGCAAATCCAGGGATACCAATAGGTCATGGATGGTCAGATCAGAAGTTTAACATTCTCTATAGCCTTTGAATAAAGTCCTTCTTTGGCTAGAGCTGTGGGGGAAGGAGATGCAAAGCCTCTCCAACACTTCTGTCCCCGCGTTCCTTCTCAGGGGGTTTGGGTAGAATGCCGTACTTATTCCAATGTCTAGAATGACTTTAGTTCTAACAAGTTTGGTAATTTATAGAGACTTCTAAAGTGTGGCCAAGTTTCCTCAGCCTATCTAAATAAAACTAAAGTTTGAATGGCTTGATGTATTTACTCTAAAGTCTACCATTTTGTTGAGACACGATCTCACCTTATTAACATATCCAGCGTAAAATGTGGTAGGGTAGCTTTGAACCCACATTTATACAGTCCTGATCAATTAATTAATCAACAAGTATTTATAAATGTCTATTATATTCTACTGACTGGGTTACAAACACAAAAGAACTGCCTTGGAAATACATCACACTGCCTTGGAAACCAAGGTCAGTAGAAGTAGCTTTTGGGGCACCTAGGTGGCGCAGTGGATAGAGCTCTGGTCTTGGAGTCAGAAGGACCTGAGTTCAAGTCCAGCCTCAGACACTTGACACTTACTAGCTTTGTGACCCTGGGGAAGTTATTTAACCCTTATTACCTCACCAAAAAGCAAACAAAACAAAACAAAACAAACAAACAAAAAAAGATGAAGTAGCTATCAGTGTCAAATGCTAAAGTAAGGTCAAGAAGACTGGGGAAGAAAGGATCCTGGATTTGGCAATTAAGATGTTATCAGTCATCTTGACAAAGCAATTTCAGAAAAGTGGAAGTGGAAATCACTTAGATTGCTGGCGGGTGACGGTGATTGAGATATGAGTGGTTGGTGAGAAAATAAAGGCAGTAATCAAAGATTATTTTTTTCCTAGCATTTTGACAGTGTGGTAGGAGAGAGTTGGGATAATAGTTTGAAGGGATAGCCCAGTAAAAAGAAAGTATTTTTAGGATGGGAGAGAAGGGTACAACCAGCAGAGAGGAAAGATTCCAGATGAGGTAGAGAAGAGTCAAAGGGAACAAGTCCTGGAGCAGAGGAAAGGAATTAGGACAAGAGCCTTAGCTTGAGGCACAAGTGTAGGGGAGGAGGAGAGTCTTTGACAAGGAGAAGGACCGCCCCTTTACCTGAAGCAGGAGGGAAGGATGCATGAAAACAGATTTTGAAAAGTAGTAAAAGAGAGATAAAAACCATAGTATATGGTCTCAGCATTCTTTTTTTTTTTAATTTTTCAACATTCACTTTTATAAGATTTTGAGTTCCAAATTTTTTTCTCTCTCCCTCCCCTCCCCCTTCCCTAAGGTGACATGCAATCTGAAATAGGCTATACATGTACAATCATATTAAACATATTTCCACATTAGTCGTGTTGTGAAAGAAGAATCAGAACAAAAGGGAAAAACCATGAGAAAGGGGAAAAAAGAGAAAATAGTGTGCTTTGATCTGCATTCAAACTCCATAGTTTTCTCTCTGGATGTGGATAGCATATTCTATCTTGAGTCTTTTCAAACTGTCTTAGATCACTGTATTACTGAGAAGAGCTAAGTCTATCAAAGTCAGTCATCACACAGTGTGGCTGTTACTGTGTACAATGTTCTCCTGGTTCTGCTCACTTCACTCAGCATCGGTTCATACAAGTCTTTCCAGGTGTTTCTGAAATCTGTCTGCTTATCATTTCTTACAGAATAATAGCATTTCATTACATTCATATACCACAACTTGTTCAGGCATTTTCCAGTTGATGAACATCCCCCCGATTTCCAATTCTTGGCCATCACAAAAAGAGCTACTATAAATATTTTTGTACGTGTTGGTCCTTTTTCCCTTTTATATGATCTCTTTGGGATACAGTCCCAGTAGTGGTATTGCTGGACCAAAGTGTACGCACAGTTTTATACCCCTTCGGGCATAGTTCCAAATTGTTCTCCAGAATGGTTGGATCAGTTCACCACACCACCAACAATGCATTAGTGTTCCAATTTTCTCACATCTTCTCCAACGTTTATCATTTTCTTTTCTTGTCTTGTCGTATTAGCCAATCTGATAGGTATAAGGTTGTAATTCAGAATTGTTTTAATTTGCGTTTCTCTACTTAATAGTGATTTAGAGCATTTTTATATGACTATAAGATAGCTTTAATTTCTTCATCTGAAAACTGCCTGTTCATATCCTTTGATCATTTATCAATTGGGGAATAACTTATATTCTTGTAAATTTGACTCAGTTCTCTATATATTTTAGAAACGAGTCCTTTATCAACTGTGAAAATTGTTTCCCAGCTTTCTGCTTCCCTTCTAATCTTAGCTGGTCTCAGCATTCTTAAAATAACAGAGTAGGAAAGATCATCTACTGAGAAAAAGGGATGAGGGGAGAAGAGGGGTTGGGAGGCAAGGAAAAAGTGTGGAACAACATTTGTGAGTAACCTGATGAAGGGTCAGAAAAATAAAAGCACTGTGGCGAGGCCAGGAGCTCCCAATAGCAGGAATTTGAATGAACACATTTAGAACTTTTTAATATTGAATGTCCTTCAACAGCACTTAGTAAATGGTTTATTTTGTGTTGAAGATGAGGATTGATACTTTGCATAAGAATATTGTTACTTTGATAGAAGTTCTTACTTAAAATTCAATAGCCTTAGCCCCATTCTTGGGAAACAGTCTCAAGTTGAATCTCCTAATTTATTTCAACTAAGATCCACCTGTAACATCCTCCAGTTATGAAACAACAAAGTCCAAATACAAAATAAAGTATTGCTCCAGAAATGATTAAAATAAAATTAGGTTGCGATTGGAAGATTATTTATAACATCAGTGGGATTCTTATCCCTGAGCCAATTAGGTTAACTTCTGAGCAGTCTAGTGAAAGCTGATCCTTTTACAGGTGTCTTTCACGGAAAGCTGCAAATGCACTCTAGATAAAATGAATAGTAATCCCCTTCAAACACACTGCAGGGATACTTGTGGTACAGTCTGCATATATCTTCACCAAATGAAGCCTGATTTTTTTTGGCCATAGTTATAAGTTTCTCAGCTAAGGAACATTAAGGAGCTTTTGTTTGCTTTTAATACTTAACCATGTTTAACCTCGAGGTAGAAGACATTCTACTGACATCTATGGATAAACGTAATGTAATACTTTTATTTACCCAGGTAGTTGCAATTTTGAAATTACAGTAGGAACACTTTACTGATGACCTCATTGAAAACAAAAGCAGATATTAAAATTCTATGGGAAGAGCCCTGAAGTGAGAACTTTTTTTGTCTACTGGATTTCAAATATTCACGTTATAGATAGTTGGGCACAATTTATGGAGAAAGAAAGCCTCACAAATTTGTTTGTATTTGGGATTGGGACTGAATCCATGATTTTGTTAATATAGAAAACTCCTGCAATTAATGCATGTTGGCACCTTCTCTGAAACGTCATCTAAGAGAGTTGCCTACGGAACTGAGGAGTTAGGTGACTCACCCAGGGTCACACAGCCAGTTTGTTTTAGAAACAGAACTTGAACCCAGGTCTTCTGACTCAAAGACCAGCTCTCTGTCAGCTACATCAAACTGCCTTTCTCTTATCTGTGTTATTAAAAGATTTTCTTCTGCCAAAGTTCTGTCTCACTCCTTCTTATGATGTGGAGTGAATATGTGGCTCTTAGAGTTTGTGCCAATCAATCATAAGCTCAGACAGAGGCTATTACTGGCTCATCAACAAGCTATCTTTAAGGGCCAGCCTAAGTTCTGAAAGTTGGCCACAAGGTGAAATATTTTTAACTCCCCAAATTAAAGACATTATCTAATGAAGTCTGGCACTAGAAAGACCTGGGTTCAAATCTTTCCTCAACTGTTTACTAGCTGTGTGATCCTAGACAATCATTAACCTCTTAGCTTTCCTTTTCTTATCTGTAAAATGGGGCTAATAGCTCCTACTGTACAGGGTTTCTTTTTTTTTTAATAAATTAGATAATACATATAAAGTGCTTTATAAACCTTAAAGTGTTACATAAACTTATATAAGCATTAGCTATTATGATGATGATATCATAGTTCTTTTGCAGTATCAAAGGCATTTAAGAGTTTATGGCACAAATGTACTCTCCAATGTTGGTGTTCAAATCCTTTTTCATTATTTCTTATGTAATCTGGATGGCTGTCAAGACATGACTTTTCACAGTTAAGTATGGAGTGCTTGTGTTTATATCAAGATGGTCTTCTGAACAGCTCAGTTTTTATACTTAGAATGTGTCTGCATTTCATGTATTAAAATTGCTCTTTCCTTTGTCACCTGCTGTGGTCACCTTAATCCACAGGAGTGGGTGAAACCACACAAAACTATTTAATTTTTCAAATCCAGCAGTGGAAAAAGGAAAAAAAGACAAACAAAAACAATGGAAAACCTGCTCATTAAAAATAGAACTATGCCTTTTTCTTCTAGGATTTAAGTTTGCCTCATTCCTACATTTGGTCTTACTTGCATGTAGAAATAATTGTTCTTCGTGAA